CATTTGCCAAAAGAGGTGAGAGTGGAGATCCCATCGGTAGTCTAAATATTTGCTCGTAGATACTGCCGTTAAATCTAAAATGTGGGGTCCTTATTGTCAGGTTTATCAGTCGTATTTACGATTCCCTTCATATTCGTTCTGCCTTCCGAATATCCTCTTCTTGGCCAATATCTCCAACAAGAGGCTTACCGCCTTCTCACCTGAGAAGTTTGTGTACATAGATTTTACATCGAAACTCATCAACAGTTCCATCCCTACCGGCACAATGTTCCGTACCCTTTGAGAAAATTCATACGAATTTTTAACGGTATTCAAGAGTCTATCATCTACTTTTTTGAGCTTCAAACAAATGAATTTCGCTAGTTTGTGTATTGCTCCATGCTTATTGTTGACTATTAGTCTGAGCGGATTTCCTTCCTTTCGTATCTTCGGTAGTCCGTAGGCTGTCGATGGTCTTGCGTCATTTTATATTAAAGATTTCATCATTCATAAGTCAAATTCTTCATTATCATGCACTTCGTTTAGCATATTCTTCAGTGTCCCGTTGATTTTCATGGTTGGATCATTCCTTAGTATTTGATAAGTGTTCCTGTTGCCTAGGATACTTTCCATTTTTACCGTGTACTATTTCCTGTTTATTACAACCGTCGCTCCTTCCTTATACGCCTGAAGAACAATTTAATCATTCTTTTGTATTTTTTTCCACATAGCAGTCAATCTGCTCCTGTGTATCGGTTATTGATGTGCCAGGATCCGTGGTATTCTTTTCACTTCCATCTCCCACTATGACGCTTATCTATCTAGATATTTATCCGATATGTTGATAACTTACACCAGAATATCACTGAGCCCATTTCCTTCGTTACCTAGGGAAAAAGATAACCCCTTCTTTAATAGATCCATGGTTTCATAATCAAGAGGGATTGAAGATAGGTTTACCACCTTAGCTGTATCGTCATTTGTCGCAGTTGATGCCTTCATTACAGAACCATTAAAACTTTACCGGGTTGGCTTGGTATTGCGTTGTCTTATTGCTCCATATTCAAGCACTTTTTTTGTCATGCCGCTTGTTTATCAGATCCCGAACCCTCTGTGACTTCTGGTCCATCATGCTCTAGAGTTTTTGAAAATCATCTAAAGTGAGAACCCTACCTAGATCCTTTCTTAATCTAGACTTGAGATCTATGAACTTAAATAGCTTAAGCCTCTTAGTCTCGTAAATTTCCTCTAATTTCTGGATGGAGGCGTGATAAAGTATTTCAGTAACTGTGTCCGAATGACACTTTCTTATTAGATTGCAGAATTGGGGAGCGATACCATAATGTTTGCAACAATTCAAAAAGGTCAAATTTCCACGCAGGCATTCTTACCCCCCTTCAACCTTGTTCTGCGTATGATGATCAGAGTCTGCCCTATTGTTACGCGGTCCTCCTCCCATAGGTCCTATCAGACTCTCCCTCATGTCCCGTATGATCCGTGTGCTATCTCCCAGGTTTAAATATTTCACTCAATTCCTGCCCACACATCTGTGCTACTCGTGGCGTTATTTCCCACACTCTGCGTCTGTGAGACTAACTTGAGTTTAAGGCCCATAAGTAATGCTCATAGTCAGGCCTTGGTTGCCTGGACTACGCCTATGGTAAAACATGTTTACTTTTAGTCAACTAGCTCCAGTCTCCGCGGCGTCTATCCTATTTCTATCCCTAATTCCAAGTCTATTACTTCCTATGCCCTAATTTCTTGTGTGCCAATTCACAAATGTTGTGGTAATACTTGCCTTGGTTCAGCGTTGAAGCACAACGTTTGTGGATTTGCACACAAGAGACTATGGCATAGCAAGTCATAGAGTTTGTATTACGGATAGAAACAGGATAGACGCGGCAAAGAATGGAGCTAGTTGGCTGAAAGTTGGCCTATTCTACCATACTTACTCGAAGACTTTAGACTAAAGTTAGTCTTTCAGAGGTAAAGTGTGGGAAACAACGCCTCGACTAGGTCAGATGGCGCGGCAGGGGTCGAGTGAAATAGTTGAACATGGGAGCTAGCAGACGGATCCTACGGGACAGGAGGGTGACTCTGATATGACCTATGGGAGGAGGACTGCGTAACAATCCGGCAGACTATGATTAACATTCCCAGCACAAAGCGTGAGGGTGGTGAGAAAGCCAGTGTGGAGTGTGAAGAGTTATCATGAAAGCCTCTTTAAAGGACACACCATACCACATTTAATTAAGCAAGTAAAAAATTGTGATAGTAAAGGCGTGATACAAGGATATAGAATGGTGAATAGCTCAGGACGGAAGGAAAGATACCACAATAGTTTAGCACACGATTGGTCAAAGTATCGGCTTCACATGTCTTTTTGACGAATTAGAGTGTGGTACTAAGGCTGTCTATACTCACTGACTATGCAGATTAGGATGCCGGCGAAACGTATAGGACGGCACCACGTCCACGGTCCGACTCTGGAAATTATCATGCAGACAATGTACTGTGTACTAGGTGCCTTCCTTTAAGTCTCCCTATTAATATGACCAAGTTGCGGAAACAAGGTCAAACTAGTTCTATACAACGAAAAGAGACTGCGACCAGAAAAAAGGCCACACCATCTTTGTCTTCATTCCTTAGAGTAAGCAAATGTTTCCTGCTATCTATTATATAAAGATACCTGATAATACAAATGCCAATTCTTTTTAAAATCAAGACAACTGTGTCTTTATATAGCTTTTTAGTAGGCATTCCTTGGCTAGAAGTCGTTTTAAGTAAAATATGCACCCTGCCACCACACTACCGTTAGTCTTTAATCTGGACGCAAGTACATCATTAACAACGTAACCGATAGGATTCATGTTATTCTCCTCACCCTTCTCTGCAGGTCAGTCAATTAAAGAGGTGTTTAGAAAGCCCCCAGCCCTCATATTCCGTTACCTCTAGGAGCTCTCGACAACCTAAACACATTCATCACCGTCAGCATCTTCACAATAAGCACCATCCGAATGACAGGAATGATGAATCGTGTGAAGAAAATGAAGAGAACACCTATGACGACGACGATGTAGATGCGCCTTCTA